AACTTGATATATTTGCGTTTCAACCGAGACACTATTTCAGCCCCTTATGACGCGATGGCGAGTCCATGCGTGCTAACGAGCTGAATGAAATAAATCTTGTTCCCGGGTTCACCTGCTCGGTAGCTATGGAGATCCATGTGTACTGATGGTCCAATTGAGATGGACTTACCTGACAACGTATCGAAGGTCTCACTCCCTAGGCGCGTGCTATTTTCGTTATAGGGCTTGTACAACGAAGACCTGAAAAGTTTTACATGGGATAATGATATGATCAATAGCCCTAGCTGAACGTGGGCGGTATGTAGACTCACAACCACCTACGTCACTTAGTCTTGGTACTTGAGTGGCTACCTCTGGACTTCTACGTTGGCGCATACCGGGTAGTATCTCGTCTTCACGGGGCAAAGAAAAGAATACCCACACCACCGTAAGTAGATCGTATGAAAGCCTTGCTTGCGCTCGATTGGCTAGCCTGTCGTAGTATAACTCGCGCGTTGATGAGGTGTGGGTCAGAAATCACCAAAGTCTCAGGTTGGGGGTCTGATACATTTACTAACCAGCAGTATAGGACGTCTACCAGGTATCCTAGCGCCCATCCCAGCCCAGATTCATTAGGCGCCCTATAATATAAGTAGAGGCGGTCACAGCGGCCGAGGTGAAACGAGCTAGAGTGTTGTTACATGTAACGACATGGACAACATAGCGGCCGGCCGAGGAGAAAAAGGCCATAGTGCTCTGGGTGCTAACGAAATCGTAAGATGCTCGGTGTACGGCCGACTAACTAACTCGTTACCAAGGTTGTAGGGAGGTGTTGGTACCGAAACGAGCAAGGGACTTTAGCCGCGAAGGGATGGCCACCCCTTCATAATCTGAGCTCTTGAGAGAGAATAGAAGAGACTCTAACCAAGCACACACTACGTGGTTTACTATTCTTCGGAGCGCATCATATTATTTTGCTTGCGCATGCTGCCGTCTTCCCGCTAGTCTATGTAAATTCGCGGCGTCTTATGGCCCTCTTCAAAGTGATGGGGTGAAGAACGGACCACAATGTAGTGAGTACTAGGGCACGTCTCGTGATCAAGATACGGTTGGGTCACGGACACGATTCACGAAAGCACAAGACTTTTCACCGATGGAATCAGCATCGGCGAACGTGGTGAGCGATGAATGGTAGTACGAAGAACCAGCTGGTGGGGAGGGAAAAGTTTGCGACGTGGACCTCGTCGTTTTTGATACGCTGGCCAAGCTGATGGGCAGGGCGGCTTGCAGCAAGCCTAACCCGTGCATGAGAGCACCACGAGGACTGCAGCGGCCTGCGTCGCACAGGAAATGCAGGCGGTCTGATGTTGTATTATTGCGATTGGCAATGCGACAACAGGAGCCTCTGGCACGCGAACGTCGGACAGCGAGAGAATCGTCAAATTGCTACGGAGACAGTTAAATGGACTTCCATTTCGAGACAAGGTTTTCTCCGCAAAACATTAGTTGGGTATCGCCTCTGACGAAATGGGACAGGTCAGGGGAGACGCTTGGCCCAACACGACCTACCGCGCCCAGGGTAGAGTAAGTAGTAGTCAGGAACCATACTTATAATAAAACCGGCCAAACACCGTTGCAAATGGGTACTATAGATGCCTTGTCAACACCAGATATCGACCTGCTGTATTAAGCGACCCTTCCCTGCGCGCATAGTGTGAGTAAGGTGGTATATCAAGCAAGCCGAAATTGTGCTATACTAATTGGTAGTTTTGGCTGATTACTTATAGTGCAATAGATATGAACCGGACTGCCAATCTCAAATACGTACACAGATAGCCTGAGCTGAGAAGAAGCTGAGAAGACTACTTACTTTCAGGTAAGGCACGATGAAGGCATTCTTTGCTTCTACGCCACGATGGCGTTTGTTAGCGCTATAGGAATACTGCGCCGCGTTCGGCCAGTCCCTGTCATCTCATCGTCTTCGTGGGTACGAATCCCGCTGTATCGTGCGTCTTTCAAGGGGTACTGCCTAAAGAGCGGGTTCGAAGCGGGCTTTCCCCAAGTGAGACCAGAAATGGGGTTGTGGAAGCTTGTAATCTTGTAATCTCCGGTGGCCCATGCTGATGTCCTAGGTAGGAGTAAGTACCATCGGCAGCGTATCAGTGTTGAAAGGTACCTCACTACATGTACGTAGCGACCAGGAGACCAAGAGTAGGGGAATACAGAATCAGCGTGTTTGTATACCTCAGCTTGCTCAACGTTCCGTGTTTGCTGGCTCGCCCCATCGACGTCCCTGACGGAATGAGAAGATGAGCAAGGCACAAGGCTACAGGCATCTATGCCGAACAACACACCGCCGCATGACACCATTCTTTTGTCCACGTCGTCAGCTTAGTGTCGAATACTCGCCAACCAGGACGAGGCATTGCGGTACATATTTCCGTCTCAAAGGGCAACGGTGGATAAAGCGCAGACAAAGTCAAAATGAGGATGGGCGAATGAAATAAGCGCGTCGGTAGCTGACCTCGAAGACGCTCAAAGACCATTAGTCGACGCAGGGGCCAGTGGCAGGGTCAGCGGCCCTGCGACCTATCAGGGCCCTTGTTCGGGCTCCTTAGTGCCTTAGTGCCTGCTTAGTGCCCCCCCGGCATCGCCAATTTCGCGATGCAGGGCAAGCAACGGTGCCCACGTTCCCCCAGAGATCGTGGCTGTCAGGTACCCGTGCTGACCCCCCTCTCTTCCCGCTTTTTCTCACCCGCCTCTGCCCTCGCTCTCTCGCACATTTACCTCTCGCACGGCTCACACACTCCCTCGCGTCTTTCCCTCTCGCCTTCTCACAGACATTCGTTTCTGAAACACGCGGACTTCGTTGGCAGAGTTCCCATATTACGACTTCTACGAACATACATACTCACGACAATTAAGTTCCACCTTGCATCTCGAATACCGAGTATTCCGTCACCAACACCCACATTCTTTGCGAACGCAATAACAAGCCGACCGATCGCATCGCACGCGCGTACACCAACGTCGTTTGAACTCTGAAGCGCATAAGTCGCATCTCGTTCATACATATATACCAGGAGGAAAGAAGAGAAAAACCGAGAATCCATCTTCCGATCTCATCAACACATTTGTCGCAATGCAGCTCAAGGCCATCGTCGCAACCGCGCTTCTGCCCCTGTTGGCCGTCGCCGACGACACCACCCTGACATCGACCATGACCATGACGAAGTACATCACTATCTCCAAAGTCGCCACTTCAAGCGTCTACACGAACGCCACCTCGTCCTTCTCCCAGCCCATCGGCACAGGCCACTCCTCCATCGTCCACACCACGACTGCTAAGGAGGGCTCTACATCTGCTACCACCACGCCTACCGCTAGCCCATCGCCCGTCGACAACGGCAACGGTAGCGGCGCCGCTTCTTTGAGTGCCTTCGGTCTTGCCGGTGTGGCTGGCATGGTCCTGGCTGCTCTCATGTAAAGATGGGAGCCTGCCTTGCCTGGTGTGGCTGTTCGCTACCCTGAAGCGAACGATATGACAAGCACATGGAGAAAAACTACTGTCAATGCCGAACTCGTTGATGCGAACATCAATCCATTCATTTCTTTTGTCAAAAACCAACGTTGTCCGTTTTGCGCGCTGTCAGGTTACAATTACATGCGACGAGACGGGCGATCCGACGATATTCCGAATAACGGCAACGAATAGCACGCGAACCCTCATAAAATACCTCTTTCACTTCTGCAAGCTGCGAGCATATGCTTATGGCCCAAATAATCACCAGTTGTCTATCTCAACAACCTTACTTTCAACTTTTCTTGAATGGTGTTGAGCGTTTGGTGTTATCCCAAATTCGCCGTTAATGTTTCAGTAAACCAGCAATACACATGTTTCAACCCCCTGCGACTTGATATCATGAGGCATCTGACCATGACTCGGAGACTGGTTCACCTTCGCAACCGCTGCCGGATGTCTGAGCCCACGATACCACTCGCGAGTTGATACGGGTGCACATGCTGCTGGCTGGTCTTATTTATTTCACTTCTGTCACCCTTTTTTTTTTTTCTTCCACCCAGCCCTTGTTGTGATGTTCAGCTATGAACGGCAGGACAGGGGCAAACGAAGGCACATTTACCCTTTTGCACGTTTGCTATCTTTTTATGTGCCTTCGCGTTGTTGAGATACCCTGTTGTTGAGATACTCGCTGGCCGAGGATGATTTGAGGTCATCTTGCAATTGAAAGAGGAAATGAACCAGACTACCGCGCCGGAAAAAAAGATACATCACATGCTCGCATTCTGCGAGGGATCTTTGTTGGCTTTTGACCACACGATTTTATATCAAACACTTGTTGGCCTTCGCCACATTTTCATACCTTTCTGAATTGCGAATGGATTTTATGAGGCGGTTGGAGACTATGAAACCGGAGATGAGATGAATGAATTGTGTGTGTAGGGGAGATATTGAGATGGGCTCAGAGTAGTGTATAATGAGCCATTCGAATACAATTGATCCAGATGATGACCACGGTGTTTTGAAACAAAGTTTTGGTGATCGACTTGTAACATCGGCGCAACATTGTCCAGTTTTGCTCAAGCTAAGCAATCGACCAGCAGTACTTGTCTATTACACGCAGAACTGTATTAACTTTTCGTCTGCTTTGTTGACAACATAGTTGTCTTGTGCAAACGTATGAATTCGCTTACATTAACCTAGTTCCTCGAGACAGGTGAAGTTTAAAGATTTGGATGTAGATTTATATTTTCCGCCTCTCTCCTCCTTATGATTATACTTGGTAGTATGAATTGTCGCTTATATAAGTTAAATCAGCATAAAAGTCAAAGAATGTACTTTCAAAAGCCGTTAGCGCGTATAACCAGAATGAGACGACGGCTATTTCGATGAACCGCTTACCACGATGGTCAAGAGGCTACCTGCCTCAGCACATTGTGAAATATCCTATTACCAATTAGGAAATCAAAACAATCTACCTAGTTAGGACGGTCGTCTGAGGGTCGGCATAGTAGGTATAGTGGTTAGTACAGCACGTTGTGGCCGTGCAGACATGAGTTTGATTCTCATTGCCGACAGTTTTTCGCTCTGATTTCGTCTTTTTACTATTTCCTAGGCCCGAGTAGGTGTCCCGGGAAATATTTTCCCTTATTTCTCGCCCTACTTGTCCCTCTCCGTTCTTGTTAGGGCGAATGAAAACCTCACGGTAATTAGGTTCCTTTGATGATAAGAATACCGTTCTTGTAACACACATACATCACTCGTCACAATGGGTGTCAACTGTACTAAGACGTTCGATATCTATATGCTGCTTGCAGAAAAAATTGTCGCCTTTCTCCTGTATAGTTCATCTATTATTTTCATAGGTGCCTCACCAGGAAGGTGCTGTTTTCTAGGTATACAGATTCTGTTCGTGTCTATGCCCCCAGCCCATTTCCCCATGCCCCTAAATCTATAGAAACACTCGAATCTGCTTTCATGTTATGGTGGTATTCTCTCAGGGATGTTATTCCGGAACTCAGGATACGGAGTCATAGCAAGACGTTTGCATAACGAAACAGTCTTTCGGTTTGATTTATAGATGGTATTCGGTCTCGCTTTGTACTGTGACGCCGCGTCGACCCCAGACGCCGTCGATGCCCATATCTGCCTTGCCGCTGTTTGCTTGTTAGTGCTCATCTCTTCCAAAATAGGGCTTCCCAACACTCGGGTACTTGTAAACGCCGGAGGGACTCGGCGACTTACTCGTCTCTGGGCACAATGTAAGGCTCGGTGTCGCCCTTCGACGTATCCGGATTACGGAAGATCAGGTTCTTTGACTGTTCGCATCATTTATGTTAGATGGACGATGCCACCACGTGAACGAAGTGTAATAGTAGCCAATATGGGTGCGTGCATCTTACCAATCCCAGTGTCAAGTGGATGGCCGGCGGCGCCACCTCTATGTTCCCGGAAGGCTCGCGACCTTCGACCATGTCCAAGATGTTCCTAGCCACGACCTGAGCCTGAGCGGCGCCGGGCCGTGCCGCCTTGTGCGCACCGCTGTCGGCCACGTCGCCGACGGCATAAAGGTTCGGGTACGCCGGGTCTTGGAACTGCAGCGTCGGCCTCACGCGGATGAATCCGTTGGCCCGGTTGACGAGGGAGCTCTCCGACGAGGCCGGGAGCGCCGAGAGAAATTGGGTGTTGGGCGTCTGCCCGGTCGCCGGAATGACGACGTCGGCCTGCAACGTGCTCCCGTTCTGCAGAGATACGGTGATGGGCTCCCCCGATACGTTTTCCTGCTGGAACTCGTCCGCCGGGATGTTGACGCGGGACCCGAGCACGAGCCTGCGAACAAACGGGGTCAGATGGCGAGCTCAATCTTGCAGCATCGGTCGCCTCAAGATGGTGGCGGTTGCGAATACTCACTTGACGTCCAGTTCCTGACATCTCGCCTTGATGATCTCGTCCAGCTTCTTGTGGTACAACGGCATGAGCTGGTCCCTGGAGTGCACCAGCGTGACCTCCTTGTCGGGGTAGATCTCCTTGAGATCCGTCGCCATCTGCACGCCGACGGCGCCACCACCGACGATGGCGATAGACTTGGCATCGTTGAGACGCTGCTGGTAAGCCTGCAGATACTTCACAGACAGCGGCTTCTCGTCGTCTTGCATCGTGCCGGGAGCCCGTAACTTGGTGCCCGTGGCCACGACCAGATAGTCGAAGGGGATCTCGCGTACGCCTTGCCAGTCCCGATCGAGCACCACGCGGTCTTGGTACAAGGCGGAGACCTTTGCCTTCACGACATGGTGCTGATCTGGGTTGGGTGCCACGGCGAAGGTCCCTGTGTATGGTATAAAAGCTTTGTGCTCGTATGTGGGCAAGATAGCGAATCGCGGCTGTTCTCGCTCGTTGCTATATTAGCCATACCAAAGACCTAGAAATATGGACCGTTGCTGCCCGCGCATGCCGTATATCACTTACGAAGGCAAACAAATGGTGGAAATGACTATGTGGCTCAATGAGGAGCACCTATGCGCTTTACTGTTAAATTCCGTGTTGATTTGCCGAGGTCCGGGCCCTGCTGCTTACACGATGTGTGGATGGCAAGAGATTGGCGAGTCCTTGTGTGGTGGCCTTGAATGATACTATTAGTATAAAGTAAATCGGAAAACTTGAAAGATGATGGGAAATAGAGAGTCGGGGTTGGACTAACTACACCGACATAGGAACCCCCGATGACAATAACGTTTCTTAAGCTTGCGGCCATATTTCCTTTTCTCTAGTGCAACCTAATAGGTAAGATTTTAATTTAATTGGATTTTATAGCGAGTGTAATCTTATGAAGGTGTCAGCCTTTTCTCACAGCTTTCCTATGTTCCTCCCGGGTAGGTACTTAGAAAGAAATGTTGTATGAACGAAACGTAATCAACTTGCTGCTGACTTCACCTATATATACCATTCGAGACGTCCGAGATGAGATGATGGCTCGGATCTGATAAGCTAAAGCCGAGCATCGTTGTCGGCTACCGATCACGGAGCATTATTTGGCCCATGTACTGTCAGGTACTCGCACTCAGTAACTATGCTTCCTACTACTGCCGTGTACTGCTTCCGAGCCTCCGTTAATGCCGAAATTTAGACCCGTTGATGGCTCGCGTTATCAGATCGTCGACGCCTCTCTGATTGGTCATCCAAAGCCCCATCTAAGCTAATTCTAGACTTGATCTACCTACAGTTGTGCTAGTGATTCGTTGAATGAAGGTAAGCGTCAACTAAGTTGACTAATAGTATTCCAAGGATGAGAGGGCATTTCATTATATCGCATATCCCTCGGCTTGCCCAGCTCAAGGATGAGTACTGTGTGATGATTCTTAAGCGCTGAATCTTGATGATTGGTAATTGTATGGTACTTATGTATACGTGTCCTTATAATATTTTATGACCATTACTCATGTTCATAACCAAAGTATAGCGGTTTACAACAGTGGTAGCAAATAAGCGCCCTGGGTGAAAAAAAAAACCTAAGAAGCCTTAGTTGTTTAGCTGCTGTTATTTTAAATATTTCTATGGCATTATGTAATCTGTTTTACGAATACAAATTTCTTGTGTAATGACCGTGGATATAACTTCTACATTTCATATTCTCTGAAATGCGGAACAAACCTCGTTCTTATATCATCACCGTGTATGAACGAGCAATGGACTTCTAGGCGGGATGACCTCTTATTGCGCTACGTGGACTTCCTGATACTCAAACAGGATTCAAGATCTTGTTCGGCTGCTATGGTCAAGAATACATTGAGGATATCAAGCTGTGTTCCTGCGGGAATGCAATGTTACGTAGCTCGATATAAACTATTTAACGGACTATGACATTGTTAGCTTGTCTAAATCACTGCAAAGTATCTGCACTCGAGTATTATAGATTTGCCCTCCTACTCGCTGCTGTTCGACCTTGGCACTAACATAGTACGATATGTCTGGGTAAGTTTGATAGATTCTTCGACTAGCCCTAGATGGCAGCGCCCTACCCACCGCATGATATCTAAACACTCTGTTAGCGAATATTGTTCCGAAAGTGATCGCTTGGTAAGGACTGCTCGTCAAGATATATGAGAGTCCAACACAACGCTCCTTATTATTATTATTATTATTATTATTATTATTATTATTATTATTATTATTATTATTATTATTATTATTATTATTATTATTATTTTCATCGTGTCTACGATAAACTGATAGTTATAGAGGACCACTCCAAGAGATATCTTGAAGATTTCGAACGTCATTACGACCGCTCGGTGTGTTTCAACCGCAGTCAGCCTATGGCTTCTCTTCGTTAATTCCCACTAGCTCCTGGGCCTAAAATATGACTGAGCTATCTCACTATATACACCCGTTAAGATTCTCTATTCGATAACTACCGCATTAGGGGACTTAACGCCTAATTAGCTTGCTAAATCGATATATGGATTTTAAAGTACTCTTTCTATGACACTGGGTTAATGTTGCTGCGAAATAATTCACAATACTAGTATAATAAGAGCCCCTAGATGTGAGGGAATAACTTAAAAAATATGGGGCAATGCGTATTATATCTTGTGGCGTTTTATAAAGATTTCTTCAAGTTAATGGGGATCTCAATCTCCACACAATTCACAATTACTTAAGTACGTTTTAAGGTACTTAGCATATCCGCGTGTTTGATAACTCGTTGATTTACGGAATACAGCTCTGGACGGGACAGCCCGGAGTGGTTTTTTTAAGCTGCACTAAGCTATTAAGCAAAGTTGATAACGTTTAACTATCTATACTATCATACTTTGGCATATAAATTACGGTAGTCGGTATGAAAGCCTCTGGGACGGGGGTTTTGGCATCCGGAAATGGAGCTCCTAGACCTGAACTGGGCGAGTCCCTAAGTGTGCCTGTCAATATCATTCGTGCAATCCTCTTAGATGACCCCTCTCGCCGTCGTTCCCGTCCTTGTAGAGCATTAGCTCGGGTCGTTATTCGCAGCGCACCCAGGTACCCAGACAACGTATGCATTGCGTACCACCGCTAGACTGTACCTGTACCCCTATGGCTGGGCTTACGAACCCCCGGACCATTCCTTTGTGCTGGGTCTGATCTTGGAGTCGTGGGTTATTGTTGTGTAGCGTAGTAACTTGTGATCTCTTGACCGCTGTAGTTTGCTGCCGGGCGGCGCCCTGCTGTCGCGTGTGCATGTGCACACTTATGTGCTTACTCTGTACTCTGCTTGCTGAGAAGAGAATTGACCGGAGTTCAACTAGGGCACCTATCCCCATTCGTACTACATGATAGAGTTGATTACGGTTACGTTACCAACGATGGTACGCTATACCGCTTTCCTTTTAAGAATAACTCTGGGGCAAAGCTGACTTCCTATCTACGCCGCAGCCCTACGTATGTGGGATCTTGGCAATTGTGCCTAGATCTGGCGATGGTTACTGTACCCCATAGAAAAAGATCGTTGACGTTAGTCACAGCTCTAAAGAGTGACTTCACCTAGTGGAATACTTAAATCGTGTGGTCTCGTTTCTCTGCTTCTACTGAGCAAGTCCTTTGC